TGATGGTACAACTTCAAGTTGTAAAGTTGTACCATAACATAATGGTACAAATTGCTTTGTGGTACAACCTAAACTTATACATTTAATGTTATGGTACAACTTTAAGTTGTACATTAAAGCACCAATACTATATAGCATAGTAGAAGTGCTCTTTTTTTTTTACCTCAAATCTAAGCTCGAAAATGGGATTGAATTGTTTGCTATCCAATTCCGGTCCAGTCTCAGTTCGGGTTATACCTTTCTATTTCGAGTAAACCCAAAACACCCGGACAAATAGCCAGCCCCAGTTAGACCCACAGAATGAAGAATCCTTTTCCGTTTGTTTTCTGCATGGTGTTGCTTCGTAATTACTCGAATGAGACTTGCAAGGAAAATATTTAGACTTCCAATTAACTACACTTTCTAAGGTGTAGCTGAAAAATCCAATCCGTTTCATATCCTAAACCTTTTTAAATAGAATATATAGTTTAATAAAATGGAATTTTGAGGGTTATTGTATGAAGGTTTTGCCAGAAACAGACTGCTCCTATGTGGTTTATTTAGTACGAGATAAGCAAAAGAATGGCGGGGGAAAAAAAATCATTTTAAGGGTTCGTTTGGTTGCAAATTGCAGCTTAAAGAAGAAGATATGTAGTTACATTATGTCCTTGAATGAAACTTTGGGAAAGAAAATTTTGAGATTTCAAGCTTCGATTCTGTAATTCGATATTACCTTCTTTTAAAAAACTACTCTAAATTTGGTTTGATCAAAGGTCTAACTATAACGAACTGATTCTGTTACTGAACACGCTATAATTATAGAGCTAGACCTACCAAATAGTGGTCACATTTTCAAATTCACATTTTCACAAATATTTCTTCGAAAAATACCGGTTTAAGAGAAAATTAAAGGTGAACACTGAACAGAATGTAATTAAGAAGGTTTTTTTTTTTTTGACAAAAGATAATCATATATTGATTCAATGAAGATAACATTACATCCTGGAACTCAACCAGGCCTGAAAATTAAAAAAACGACACGTAGACGGGTACAAAGCAAGGGCCTTTCTAGCCACCACATGGGCTACCCTATTGTTCCTCCGTCCTACAAATCGCAAACTAAACCCAGGATTATTCTGCATACATTGCCGGATCTCTTCCAAGATCATCCCAATCCTACTATCTCTGGTTGCAGCTTGATTGATTTTGTCGATGATGACCTTGGCATCCCCTTCAAATCTTACATCCTGGAACCCATTAGCTAGACACCACAAGAGGGCTTCCCGAAGGACAAGCGCTTCCACCACCAACGGTTCATCAATGGATCCAAACTGAATGCCCTGAACGCGGAGAACCTCCCTTTGAGAATCTAGAAGTACCATACCTCCCGCAGAGTGAGACCCAGCTCTCGTCGCCCCATCCCACATACACACCATCGTGGAGCCCCCGGCCAGATCCGGAGGATGGAGAGAAGGGCGAGAACCCGGAACCACCCTATCCACTGGCACCCGTTCCCATTCCTCACACTGTTGATGAAATTGACGCATTAAGGCAGGGAAGCCAAATTGCTTGCCTTCAAAGACAACCCAATTACGCGACTTCCAAATTCGCCAAAGCACAGCCACCACAGCCATGATCATCGGAGGATGATGTAGCAATGCAAATAGTCTCTTGAGAAACAGTGGGAAGGTATGGCGAGGCAAGCCTTGCCCAAGATGTTCTAAACCTGAATAGTCCCAAAGAGCCCTAGCCACCGGACAGTCCAAGAATAGATGCTCCATAGTCTCCGATGCCTCCCAACAAACCGGACAACGCGGGAGGACTGGAACACCTTTCTCAATGAGGCCCTCCGTGGTAGGGAGGAGGCGATGAAAGATTTGCCACACAAATACCTTCAATTTAGGGGGAATATCAGCCTCCCAGAGCCAAATCCAGCTGGTCCTATCCATCCAACTAACCGTAGCCTGCCAACAACCGATGCCAGATAAGCTTATCCTCCAAATTCTGCCGAGGCAGAGGGATAGAACGAATCAACCTACACGTTGGTGGATCAAACCATTGACTCAGCTTGGCTTCACACCACCCCCCTCCCCCATCCTGGGCTAAAACCTCTGACACCAACAAGTCTCTCCCGGCCTGGAGTACCTGTGGGTTATAGACAGGCTTAGCAGGATGCAACTGAGGAATCCAATTCGAGTCCAGCAACAAGGCTGACTCCCCATTACCAATTTGCCACCGGAGGCCTTGTTCAAGTAACTGCCTCCCATAGAGCACACTCTGCCACCCCCAGGACGGCCGCGATCGTGCTTGGGCCTGGAGAAAGGTCCCCTTTGGGAAATATTTTCCTTTATAGACCTGAGCCAGCAGGGATTGGGGTTCCTGAAGAATGTACCAGCCAATTCTAGCTAACAGCGCCTGATTAAAATGCTCAAAACGACGGAACCCCATGCCCCCATCATGCTTGCTTCTGCACATTTTTCTCCAGGACATCCAATGGATCCTTGATTGCCCCTCCGTCACACCCCACCAGAATCGAGCAACATGTTTATCCAGGAGACGACAAAGCAAAAGGGGTAATCGGAAGCAAGACATAACATGTAGCGGTAAAGCTAGAGCAACAGATTTGATCAGGGTCTCCTTCGCTGCCCACGACAATGTACGTTGCTTCCACCCTTGTAATTTCGCCAACAATTTTTCCTCCAAGTAGCGGAAGGTATCCATTTTTGACCGGGCAATCAGGGTCGGGAGGCCTAAGTATTTATCCTGAACACCCACCGCTCCCACCCCCAAGATTGCGGCCAGAAACTCCTGATCTGCTGGGGCAATGTTTTTACTAAAGCAAACCGCAGATTTATCCAAGTTCACCCGCTGGCCACTTAACTCCTCATATTCATTTAAAACGTCGATCAGGTTTTCACATTCCTGCAGAGTTCCGCGCAGGAACAAATACGAATCATCCGCAAAGAATAAATGTGAAATCCGAGGAGCTTGCGGAGCCACTTTCACCCCTCCCAGTCGCTTGTCAGCAATTGCCTTTCGAAGAATCGCCGCAAAGCCTTCTGTACAGAGTACAAAGAGCAGAGGGGACAGGGGATCTCCTTGGCGGAGACCCCGGGAAGGCGAGAAGAACCCTGACGGGGAACCATTCATTAGGACCGAGAAGGAAGTAGACCGAAGACATTCATGAATCCATCCAGTCCAAACGGAATTGAAGCCCATTTTCTCCAGGACTGCGAGCAAGAAGGGCCATTCGACTCTATCATAGGCCTTTTCCATGTCAACCTTTAAAGCCATGTACCCTTTCTTGCCACTAGTCTTGATTTTCAAATAGTGCATCAATTCGTGACTAACCAAGATGTTCTCAATGATTTGTCTTTCGCGGATGAAAGCATTCTGCCCAGCAGAAATAATTTGCGGAAGAATATCGGCTAGCCTAGCAGCCATGATTTTAGTAATGATTTTATACACAAATTGGCACAGGCTAATAGGCCGTAATTGTTTCATACTTGCCACATTATCCACCTTGGGAATCAAAGTAACCCACGTATGATTGAAACTCCGGAGCATTCTTCCAGTAGCAAAGAATGAACAAACCGCCTCAATCACTGAGTCGCCTACGATATCCCAATAGGCTTTGAAAAATTTCCTCGTGAAACCATCTGATCCAGGAGCCTGCTTGGAACCCATAGCAAACACCGTCCGCCGAACCTCTTGGGCCCGTACCTCTGCCATTAGCATATCATTCATCTCTTGGGTTACATTTCGAGCAATAGGAAGTCCTGCTACTCGCTCTGCCATATTCACTACTTTGTTTTCCGAAGTGAAGAGATGTTGATAGAAACGACAGGCGATATCAGCTTTCCCTTTTTCCTCAGTAACCCACTCTTCATTCTCATTAAAGAGACCAGCAACATGATTACGTTTCCGGCGAGTTCTGGTGACCGTGTGGAAATAAGAGGTGTTTTTATCACCCTTCTTCAACCAGTGAACCCTCGATTTTTGTTGCCAGTACACCTCCTCTGCCTCCCATTGGCGAGCCAGGTCAGATTCCAAGAATTTGACCTTCTCCCAATCAATGGGATGCTGGGACTTGATATGCTCGATCTCGACTTGGAGAGTCTTGATATTGCGGAGTGAATTGGTAGTCCCAGCCCGACTCCAATCATAGAGGAGGTGTCTTAAATGCTTTAGTTTCTCCCAGAGCTGGAACATCGGGCTACCAGAGATTTGCTCTTTCCAGACATAGCTCACCATTGCCCTCACTTCCGGGTTCTCCACCCACCTGGCAACAAATCGAAACAGCGGACGACTCTGTCGAACAAAGGGTTTATCCGCAAGGATTAGAGCCCGATGATCCGAACCAAGGTTCGTACAATGTTTGACCAGAGTATCCGGAAATTGATCAATCCATGACTGGGAGCAGAGGGCCCTATCAAGTCTTTCACGAATGCAAGCATTACCAATGCGTTTGTTCGTCCACGTGAAAGTATCCCCTTGGTAGCCAGGGTCATGGAGCCCAAGGTCCATGATGAAATCTCGAAGACTTGCTGAGGATGCATTATTCCAGGCATTCCCCCCCTCTTTTTCATGTTCGTGCAAGGTGGTATTGAAATCTCCAATAACCACAAAAGGGAGATGAGTAGTGGCACAGACATCTCGAAGGCTATCCAATTGATTAGCACGGATAGCAGGGTTACAGCTCATATAAACACCAAAAACAACATAGGAAAACTCCAATTCATTAATTTCAATTCCAATACAAAACTCCGACTGATAAAACACCGAAGTAACCACTTCGGGGGACCAAGCAACAACAAGACCACCAGACGCCTCAATGGCATCAACAAAGAAAGAATGCGAAGACTCAAAACCTAAATTCCGAAGACGACGGGAGACTACTTGCCGGCGAGCTCTTGTTTCCGAGAAGAACACAAGATCCGGTTTATTCGACTGGACTAAACCAAGAGCCGTACGGAATGTGAGGGTGGGTCCAATACCCCTCACATTCCAGGCCAGTATCCTCATTTATTCTGCTGGGACCACTTTAGGCTGGTTTCCTCCACCGTTTCAGCAGTGTCTCTTTCCTCCACGAATTGTCGCTTTGGTGTTGGGAGGTCGATATCCTCCCCTTCCACTTTCTGGAAGGATCTTTTTCTTTCACTGTTTTGAAGGATCTCATAATTCGACCCATATTCATTCAATTCTCCAATCTCCTCATTCGGGATTGTAGCTTGCTGCACGATGTGTTCGCCGCCAAGAGCTGAAAGCTTCTCACTCTGCAGCCGAGGGGAGGGCGAATTCTCAAAATTCAAACCAGCTTCAAAGGCGCGCACCACCTGCTGGACATGTCCAGCCTTTGCCATCGGCCTTCGACTTTTAATTTCAAAATTATTATCTTCTTCCTCCGAGCTCGGCTCCCCCGCTGCCTTCTTCAAGCTTTCCCCCAAAACAATTCGATCATTAACAGGGGATGAGACATCAGCCGCGGCCAACACCGGGACCTCTACCCAAGTCCCATTGTCAATGATCGCCAAGCTGGGTTTCTTTTTTGGCGTTCTTTTCTCCTTAGTATCCTCCATTTTCTGCTTTTGTTTCTTCTCCGCCGCATCCTCCTCTTGGAGCCGCCGCCTGCTCGGAGCTTTAATCAACCTCCTTTTGCTCTGACGATTGGGCTGGTTCTTCTCCATAGCCTGAACAGTCTTCCCCGCAGGTCTCAGCTCCCCATCGGCCAGTGATCTAGCCACTGGGCTAACCGTTTTTTCCAGGGATGCGAAGAGGCACAGCTCCTCATCTTCCGATTCCTCCTCTAGTATCAGCCTCCGCGGACGAGTGCGATCATCCACCGACGGTATAGCAGCCGCCGCTGGGTCCTGAGGATTGCCAGTCACCACTTGTGACAAACCCGGCGCACTTCGTCCAGCATCGTCACCATCCTGCCAGCCCGCTGGGCCCTGAGGTTTCACAGTCACCAAGTTGGACGAGCTCGGCCCATGCCGCCCAGTGAAAGCAATAGCCTGCCCTCCCACCTTAGCTTCAGATCTCTCCACTCGTTGGGCCTCGTTGATAATGGGCTCATCTCTGGGCCGGCCCTGAAAATCTGGACCCTTGGGCCGCCGAAAGTTGTTGCCCTTGAATTTTAGTTTGGGCGACCGAGAGATGGAGAAACCCTTCAGGTTTCGCTTCGGCAGCCCCTGATGACCCCTTGTCATTGGTTCAACGGTCCCTGCACACTTCCTTCCTTGATCATAATGTTGGTTTCCTTGGCCTGAGCTGTCTTCCTCCAAAATCACATGGCGGATGTCTTCCATTTGTTGAGCCACTTTGGGAGGATGTGGGACTTTCCCAATATTATTATTGACCCAGACGGTCTTCGATTTTCCTTGAAACGGGACTGATATATCATCCACATCATAAATACGCGTACCTAGTTTCTTTGTTGTCATGTGCGGCCCATACCGTTCTCTGCGATTTGGGGGGTCGAACGTACAGTCCCTCTGAAAATGTCCCACCCTTCCACAATGGAAGCAAAACGAAGGGAGGTGCTCATATTTCAGTCTTACCCAGAACTCTCCCGTCTCCTCACTAGCCGCCACTAATTGCGATCGCAGCGGTTTAGAGAAATCAATCATTGATTTCACTTTGATGAAATACTTTCCTGAATCCGGGCACGAGTAAACACCAGACTCGAGGACCTGCCCAATCGTTGATCCTGCCACTTTCAGACCAAATTTGGCAGTGCAACAGTCATCCTTTACATCCCAAAGTTGCACCCTGAATGGAGCAATGGCAAGCTCATCGTACGTCCTTCTTGTCACAGACGGCGTCCATGGCCGGAGATGAATGATCTTGTCATTCACTACCCAAGGGGTCCGTTTTAGAACCCAGATTTTTGACTCCTCATTGGGAAGAACAAACTCGAACAGGCCCTGCCGAGCTTGCAGCACCTTTATCCTGCCCTTGCATTGCCATGGGGAATTTACTGCTTCCCGAAGTTCCATCGTCGAGCATCGTGCAGAGGTAAACACGCGCCCCAGAAGAGTATGGGAGCTCCGAGCCTTAACAGATTGGACTTCTTCCAAAGTAAATTGCACAACTTGGTCCTCGTTGACCTGCATCGCCATCGTTCGCTGCAAAGAGGGAATACCATTAGTTGACTCATCGGTCCTCCCTCGCGCTGCCCTTACTGGGTCCGGCAGAAAACGTGGACCCGGGGAAGAGCCGGCTTGGTTTATTTCCAAAGCCGCAATTATATCATCATTCAGAGAATGAGAGTTACCTGGGGGGAGAAAGGATCCTGTCTGCGCGGGCTTCTCACCGGTGCTCTCCTTGCTTGCTATCTTGGAAACGTGCTCTGTGTGTCTCAGTGAGATGGGAGAGCAACTCGAAGATAGGTATAAATAGGGAGCAGCCGGTAGGGAGTTTGTCCCGACTAGGATTCTCCTCTCCTGGAACTCTTTCGTAAACCCGAGTCGGGGAAAGGGATACGTGATCCGTTGGTTCGGATCTCCCTTCCTCCCCAAGATTTGAAGATAAACCAAATTCTTAGGGGTAAATATCATTTTACTGTTACCCCGTCGGATATTTCGGGGGGAACTCTCCTCCGACCACGCCGCAAAATCCGGCGTTGGGAGTCCCATCTGGTCCCAGATACTGGTTCGTCGGCTTGAGTTGTCCCGCCTCGATTCTGCCTTCCGATCGAAGTCAATCAAATTATCACGGCGGATCGAAGAAATCCACCATGTTTCTTCCCGTCGATCCTGGATTTCCTCCCGTCGATCAGGGATTTCTTCCCTCTGATCGGGAGTCTTCACAATTTCACGACCGATCAAGATACTCCACCTCGCTTCTTTCCGCCTACCCGGGGTCTCTGCTTTGTTTTCCCCACTGATTTGGTGTGTACAGGGCACCCATTCTTGTGACTCACCGCACACTAATCCCTTAATCTTCTTGGCTGTTTCACCGATCTCTAATACCTCTAATGGCCTGAGTGAAGCTGAGGGGATTCCCCCCAGAACATCTTTAGTTTTCTGTCGGGGTTCTTGTCCCTAGCGGTTCGAGGGGACAAAATCATACATCAATTCATCGATCTCAGCCGATGAAGGGAGCTTAAAGCACCACGCCTTTACAGGCACATCCCTTCGCATTTCTTTTTCACGGAGTAGTTTATATCACACTCCAAATCCCAATTCCCCCACTTCCTCTTCCTCCCCTTATACAGATGTCGGGGTCGTCGGGGTTCACATCTTCTCCCAGGAGGCCATCCTCCATTCCGGGTTTCGCTTTGACCGGACAATGGAGCTGATGCCCCTCCTTGTGCCTTCCTTTCCTGGGTTTGGTTGCGGAGACTAGCAGCGAAAGCTTTGTGCACCGCCACAATGAACAGGCGTCCGATGAGAATTCCAAGCCACAGGAGAGAATCGAGAGCTTCTCTCCACATTTTTTTTTATCATATATGCATTAAGAAGGTGGAGCCATATTATTGAAGGAATTTTAATTTATAATCCAGCTAATGATGAAGAGGGGAGAGCATTAGTTGGATTTCCAATGCTGCCGGCAAGTTGGTGACCGGATCCCGCGGGGAAGTTATTGAGGTAACTGGGAGTATCCGGTCCTCATTCACTAAACGCCGACTGTCTAGTGATATCTATATTTTATTTTAGAGTTTTATTCCACTTTGTGGAAAATAAAAGGCAACTAGGCTACGCGCCTTTCCCCCTCCACGGAAGCACACGCGCACACCCAGTCACGCACCCACGTCCCACAGCATCCATCCGTGTACGTCCCTCTCTTATTCTGTTGGGTCCCAACTCCCAACTCACAAATTTTTCCTCAAAACAAATTAAATTTGTAATATTTTTTTAGGGAAAAGAAAAAATAGAAAATATTTTGGGACTCGCAGTAAATTTTTGTACACTCCAATACAAACTGCCACGAACATATTAGATCAAGTTGTCGTGATAAATTTCATTATGATATTTCAGGACTCTTATTAATTACTTGACTGTGTGGGTTCCCCCCAATATATCTAGTATATGATTGCTTAAAATCTTTATAATTTTCCATCAAGCGAGAAGCTTCGATTACTTATTGACCGATTGAGTTTATTAATTACGACTAATTTTCATTTTGAATTAAGAAGGTAGTTCTTTCGGGTTTAACGTGCATGAACGATTCATATTATGACATCGTTTTCTCTTCGAGCCATTAGTCAGCATGAATCGACATGTCACACGACTAGTCAGCTAGGGTATCAATTGAGAAAAATCACCTTACTTGAAAATCAACGCTCAATATGATAGTCTTATATGATAATGTCGATAATATGTTTTTATAAGAAAAATTCCTTCAACAGGTACTACATTTTAGTGATGTTATCGTCAGTTAGTTTTCGAAGCTTAGGATAGGGTCAGTAACCATTGGTTTCTGACCTATGAGTAACTAAATCTGGACCTTTAGATCTAAGTGGATCCAGAAAATTCATATCTAAAGGTTGTCAATTAAAGACATTTTATTTTTCCTAGTTTTCGTAATCGGTTCTTATCTTTTTCGTTCTAACTCGGATTTCAATTTTTTTGCACAGATGGAACGAGTTCGTTGTGCTCTACAAAATGAGATCAATTTTCAATATATTTCGAGAAACTTTTTTTTACCAACTATATACCATATGGTAACTTCTTCGTTTTTAAGTTGTAACACCCCAACCTAAAACTCATTGGGTTGAACCAATGGTTCACCAGCACAACGGAATCTCTATCGGGGTTACGCAAAAACTCAACTGTTTTACTACGGTAACATACATACCAACATCATTATAATCCAAAATCACAACAATCAACTCTCCAATTACTCATCATATACCAAAGATCAACTCGATCTAGTTCATTCATTTCATGTCAACCAAATCAGAGTGTCATTCACTACTATGTTCATTACGGTACCATCTACTATGCAATACCCAAATCATCGACTCATAAAACATAAATGAGAGTCATTTCAAAATCTGGGAAAAGTTCAAAACCAATCCTCCATCGATCATTGTGCAGTGCCAGAGTTTCTCTCAATTCATTCGAACCTGTAAGAAACTGAACAGAAGTGGGTCAGCAACTAAGCTCTGTGTGTGGATCTTTCCCACGACCTAGTTTCGAGACCGCAATCAGCTAATCAAATAGTCGCAATCAATCGTAATTTAGTACTCTAGATGCCATCTTAGATCATCATATATAAATTACCGATCAAATTATCGAATCCACCAACTCATCATCACCAAATCAATTTATCCAATAAGATAATCACATAATTGCACGAACACATAATCAATGCATGATATGAAAATTCCGGTTAATTATTAATGGTGCCAAGGTCACCATACACTTACCCTCGCTCGAGCAAATCATCATCTGTGGTGCTCATGCAACCACAACTAGGGGTGGGCGTTCGGTCGGTTCGGTTCAAACCGAACCGAACTAGTATATGCCGATTTTCCGAGATTACAGATACCCCAACCGAATTCGAACCGAGCTATATTTCTGTTCGATTTGCCCGAACCGAAATATAACTCGGTTCGGTTCGGTTTTTTTGTCAAAACCGAATTTATGAAGACTTCCCCTCTTTGCCTTCAGTCCTTCACCCATTACCTCGCTCTCTCTCCTCTTTTTGCTCTTCTCCGCCTTTTCTCCCTCTTTCCCATAAGCAGAGCAACAAAGCCCAACCCTCCGTCCCTCCCTGCCTCTTCGTCATTCCCAGCTCCCACGAAAACCAACCCTCCCTGACTCTTCGTTCTCACTTCTCCCCCAAATCGATTCGTCTCATCTCCCTCTATCCCCGACCATCGTCTCCACTCCCCGAATCCCCCAACCTCAACCATGCATCTCATTCTCTACCTTCGACAGAGATTCAAAAATCTCCCCCAATCACCCCCAATCTCATTGATTCTCTCTCACCGACTCACTGTCAGAGGCTACCAATGACACATGCACCGCCGGGGTCAGCAGAGGCCACCGATGACACATGCGCCGCCGCGGGAAGCAAGAACAGATCCGGACTCTCCTTCGATTCATCATTTGTTTTTGTTTTTGTTTGATTCTGATTTGTTCTAGGTTTGCTAATCTGAGGTTTTGTCTTTTTTGATTTGGTTGGTTTTGAGTGGTTCTGGAAGAAGAAGAAGAAGATGGCGACGGCAAAGAGGCAGGGCAGGATGCTGGTTCTGGAAGAAGAAGAAGATGATGATGATGATTTTGGAATGGGCTAGGGTTTTAGTGGCAGAGAGTGGGCTTGGGTTGTGGGCTGTATGTGTGTGAGGGTGGGCTTG